TCCTAAGATATAGTAGCGAACCTAAATAGTATCCTAGGCCTAGCTATAAACCTCCCTAAGAATACTACTATCTTTTTTAGCGTACTACTATTTAAGAGTAAGAGCTTTATTTTACTTACTTACTATAGTAAAGTTAAAGTAAAAGGCAGCGAAGGGCGCTTCTATGCTAAAGATAAGGAAAGGTTTATAGACTAAGACTAACGAGACGTTTATAGGTAAAAGTAACCTCCTTAGTACGTTTATAGAGATCGTTAGTACTTAATACTAACGGGCCCTATTAAATAGAGGGATATTACCCTTAAAGACGCTTAGATAATATATAAGGGCGTTAAAAAGATAAATAGATTCGCTAAGAATAAGGCCTGCTAAGAAGAGTATATTATCGACGTATATAACTTTCTTTATAGAGCTATCGATAAACGATAGGCTATAAGCTTTAGCCTTAACGCGATAATTAAAATCTTAATAAAAGGTATTAAGAACGCGGTATACCCCTTACCTTACCCGCTATTAGTTTATACTAACGACTAAGGGGAACCTATCGAAGATATAAAAGATAGATATAAGAAGTACTATAAATACCTAAATAATAGGGAGTATTTAATTAAGTTTACCGCTCCTACCTTTAACCTTAGTCGCTTTATATATAAATAAAGGTATATAACTAAAGTTATTAACTTTTTAGTAGGTATAAATAAAGGGGGACTATACTAAGGGGCGTTCCTTTAAGACTATAAAGAAGGAAACCTAGTCGTTTTTAATACTTAGAAAGAGAGATAATATACTAGACTTTATACGTTCTTATAAATATAGCGGTAGTTTCTTTATATCCTCTAAGTTCCTTATAACTTTACTTATATACTAGTCCCTTATACCGCTTAGTAAGAAGGGTAGGAATATAGCTACTTAGCCTTAATAATAATCTAATACTAGGTTAAAAGTATAGTTAGGCTATACCTTAAGATAATTAAATAGCGATACTTAAAAGTTAAAGTAATTTTAAAGTAAAGGTATAAGGTAATATAAGAAGCTTAGTAAATAGATAAGATCTTATACTAAGACTAGTATTTCTTTAAGCTAGATAAGAGGATAAGTATAAAAGGCTACGTCGATAGGCTAATATATAGAATTTAAGCTATCGCGGCGAACGAGCTTAATTATATATAAGCGATATTATAGGGTAGTAGAGTTTCCTAGTAGTTTAATAATAAGGTTAGACGACTATAAAGGATATCTAAAGTTATATAAGCAAAAGCGGAATTTTGGGAAATCAAGAAACCACGTAAGACTACGTGATAGAGGGGAAGAAGGAGTATAAGGTAGGATTTTCAACGGAATTTATTGGTAGTGTATTGGTGTGTGTAAGAGGTGTTGAAGTTAATGATTCTCTATCTATCTACCAGCGGACATGCTGTCTTATATAGACAATTGTAGCTGAACGGAAGAACCTTTCGGGACCAGATTTAGGCTGCCGTATAGCCCTGAGACTGAGGTATTCCGTGATACCTCGAGTGAATCTGGAAGTGTCTTGGTTCCACTGATATTCGTGTTTAAAGGAGGTTGGTCGTGCCGGTGTTCTTAAGAGGTCTTAGCTAGCATTCTAAGCTAGCTCTGTTCCTTCGATTCCCGATTGTACGATAACCGGCAACCCGTTTAATGCATAATAACATGCAAAATAACGAGCGATTCTTGCTTTATAAGATGAGATTTTGTCTATAATTAATATACTACTTATTGGCTTATATAATCGGGAGAGTATATTATAGCTGCTTTATTTATAGTAGGAACACCGTTCCTTACAGCCTCCCTTAAAGAGTAGATTTATATACTCTTTACTGATTTATTTATAGTAGTATATATATAGGGTAAAAACCTAATTTAGGAAAACCATTCTTATACCTTAATAGTATATATAAAAACCTATTCTTTCTTAGGAAAAAAAGATCCTTAGGTATATACTAATAGAAAAACCTATAGTAGGAAAAATCTATAGTTATAATAATTATTTATAGGATAACCTTATATAAGGTAAAACCTATTATTGCTAGGAAAATCTTAATAGATAAAAACCTAGTAAATATTTCTCTAGGAAACCTAAAAGGAAAAGCCTAGTAGGGAAAGATATAGAAAGTATAAGAAATATCTAAAAACCCCTTTTAATTGCTTAGGAACTTATATTAAGGATAGACCGTCTCTAAATTTATAGAGTAATTTAGGTCTTAATTCCTTCGTAAAAATATTAGCTATATTATCTTCTGATTTAATATAAAAAACTCTAATTTCCCCTTCTCTTATACTAGTTCTAGTATAGTAATAGGCTAATCTTATATGCTTAGACCTTTTATAAAATTCCGGATTTTCTGCTAATTTAATAGCAGTAGTATTATCCGTTAAAATAGGAGGTATAGTATTAGGAATCTTAATAGATAGATCCTTAGTAATATTTTTAAAAGCATATTTAAATAAATAGCTTCTTTATTTGCCTCCTAAGGCTAATATACTCTGCTTCGTAGGTAGAAAGGGCAACGGCTTTCTGCTTAGAGCAAGCCTAGCTTATTATATTATTATATATATAAAAACAGTAACCGGAAAAGGATTTTCCGTCCGTTAAATCCGACGCCTAGCTAGAGTCGGTAAAACCCTTTATATATAGATAGGTAAAAGGGATATTGCAATTATATTTAATCTTTAGGCTAGGGAATTTATTTAAATATTTCTAAATTATATTTAAAGCCTTAAAATGCGTCTGGTCGGGCTTAGCCGCGAATCTAGCGCAGGAAATTATAGAATATAAGATATCTGGCCTAGTAAATAAGGCTAAGTATAATAGAGATCCTATTTCTTTCTAAAATTACAATATATCTTCCTTAGAAGGTAATTCCTTTGCTTTTATAAGCTTAAAGCCTACTATAGCGGGTAAATTCAAGTTCCTAAACCTTCTTTATTAAATTCCTTAATTTATTTAAGGTATAATTTTCTTGGGATATATATAGCTCTTTATTTTCTCGGTTTATTGTAATATTTAGACCTAAGAAGTCTTTTATATCTCCTAAGATAGTAAAATCTAGGAATTTAGATAATTCTTTAAATAATCTTTCTTCTATTATAGATTTAGAGGGCCCTACTATAAGAAAGTCGTCGACGTAAATTGCTAAGGCTATACTATAGTCCTTATTTATAAATACTCCTTCGTCTATTAAAAGAGGAAGAAATCCGAGATTATTTAGTATAATTTTTAAATAATTATACTAGAGCTTAGGACTTTGTTTTAGGCTATATAATGCTTTCTTTAGCTTTGCTTTAATTTAACCGGTTTTATATAGGTCTAGGAATTTAGTTAATTTAATTCCTTTAGCTCTATAAGCTAATCTATATTTTAAATAATATTCTTTAAGAGCGTATTCTTCGTAGCCTATAGGAAGATCGATATATACTTCGCTATCTATATCGGTATATACGAATGCATTTATTATATCTATTTGCAAAGCTTTGAATTCGTAGATAATAGCTAAAATAAGCAGAATTCTAATAGATTTAGGTCTAGCCGTAGTCGAGAAGGTATCTAGGAAATCTAAGCTATAGATCTGCTTAAATCCCTATATTACGAAACGGGCTTTATATTTTATTATATTATTTTAACTATCCTTCTTAATAGTATAGACCTAGCGGCCTCCTATAGCCTCCCTATCCCTAGGAGGTAGGAAAATTCTAAGTTTTATATTTAATTAGCTAGATAATCTCCTTAATCATAGCATCTTTCTAAAATGCTATTTCAGGGCTATTTATTGCCTGTTTATAGGTCTTTAGAATTTTTAGATCCTGATTTTCTATACTAGCTAGAATTAACTCTATAAAATCGCAGTTTAGAAATAAATTAACGTTAGGGTATTCGATATAGTTAGAATCGAACCCTTCCGGCTTCTTAGGTAATTCTACTACTATTTTACTAGTAGTAGGAATAGGATCGTTATTTAGAGACTCTTCTTCTATAGAGGGCGAGGGACTTTTATCTCTAGGTTCTCTAGTAGCTTCCTCTATAGGGATATAGCTTTCTAGCTTATCTTTATTCGGAATAGAATTAAAATCAAAGGTATTATTACTACTAGAGATTTCTAGATTTTTTATAAATTTATTTTCTAGTATAGTAATATCTAGAGATAGTAATCTTTCTCTTAGAAAATCCTAGATTTTATATGCATTTTCTAAATAGCCTACTATTATTCCCTTAAAAACTCTATTATCTAGCTTATCTTTAGGGTCTTTATTCTTATAATATATAAGGCTTCCGAAGGTCTTAATTTTATTTAAGGTCTCGAAGGGTAGTATTATATTATCCCTCTTTCTATAGGACTTTTAAATCCTATCGCAGAATGCGTGATCTATTATATAAATAGGTAGCTGTTAAAACAGCTTCTCCTATAGATATTTAGGAAGCCTAGCAGTAAATAAAAGAGCTCGTACTTTTTCTAATATAGTACGATTTATTCTTTCTATTCTACCGTTAGATTCCGGCGTCCTAGGAGGACTAGAATTAAAGGTAATTCCTTCTTTTTCGCAATAGAGCTTTATTTTATATATAAATTCTTTAGCATTATCAGAAAATGCTTCTCTAATCCTAGTATTTTTAGGGTTATTTTCTACCCTATTTTTAAATTCTAGGAACCTATCTAGAGCTTCTCCCTTTTTTCGAAGAAGGTATATTTCTAGATATCGGGTTCCTACGTCTAGGAAAGAAATATAATAGTGATATTTATTATAAGTAGGCACTTTAATTGGCCCTTAAATATCTAATACTATTTTTTCTAAATAAGAATAAGACTTATATGTAACGGTCTCAACTGAGTGTGTTGACAACTAGCTGAGCGACTGCGACGAGTATCCTAAAGCTAAGGAGAAAAGAAGAAGAAAAGAAAAGAAAGGAAAGCTCTCGAAGATGGCACGAGCTTATAAGCGGAGCTCCGGTGGGTCTTGTCGAGAGCGGAGCCGAGACCCTCACGGGCTCAGCCCGTTACAATAACCCCTCCTTCCTCCCCGTTTCGATCGTTTCGATTGGGGTGGTTTCGATCCAACTTTCCCATGAACTTCTTCATACCTAGCCAGTGCTATTGTGTCTGCGACGTACTTGACTGGCTCCCACGTCGGACCTATCCATCCGACCCATTTCACCAACACTTTCCACTCTCTCCCGACTTTCTTCCTGTCCAGAATCTCTTCCACTTCCCACAGCTCGCCATCGTCCGTCAAAATGGCCGGTGGGCGGTAGTCATCCGACGTCTGTGACGGTAGCGGATCGTCCGCTGCTAAGCGTAAGAGCGACACGTGGAACACGTTGTGTATTCCCGGAGGCGTGTCCAGCCTGCACGCGTGTGACCCAATGGTCTCCAGGACGGTGTACTTGGCCGACAGCCAATCGAGCTTCTTGGATGGCCGATTGGATCGGATGTTGCGAAGTCGCAGCCATACCTTGTCTCCAGGCTTGAACTGGTCTGACGGCTGTCTTCGCGAATTGGCGTTCTTCTCTTGCTGCTCTTGCGCTGACGCAATTGCCGCCTGGGCCCATTCCGTTGCCTCTCGAAATCGTTGCACAATGCTTTCAGCCCTGGTCACTGGGGACCTTCCGTCCGTCCGTAACTTCTCCTTGACTTGTATCGGGTCAACATGATACCCATGCGTGATAAAGAACGGGCTCAGGCCTGTCGACGTCGAGTTGTGATTGTTGATGGCCATCATGGCCGCTGGCAACAGCTCTTCCCAGTTATCCTGAGCATAAGCAGCAAAGATCCTCAGATATCTCTCGACTTCCTGATTCGCCCTTTCTGTTGCACCGTCAGTCTCGGGATGCCACGCCGTAGACAATCTTTGCTTCACGCGTAGCAGCTCGCAGAGCCTCTGCCATAGTCTACTGGTGAATTGCGTGCCACGGTCAGTGACGATCGCGCGCGGCACGCCATGGTGTTGCACCACGTTCCGTAGCAATGCTCTGGCCGTCGTCTCGGCCGTGATGTCCTTCAATGACTCAAGAACGACACTTTTGGACAGTCTGTCCGTCACGACCATAAGGTTGGTCGAACCGTTCGACTTGGTTGGTGGCAGGTCTGTCACAAAGTCAATTGACAGCTCCGACCAGATCCTGTCTGGAATAGGTAGCGGCTTCAATAAACCGCGACGCTTCTCTCGCCAAATGTTGCTTCGGCCACACATCACAATTTCTCACAAATTGACGCACGTCTGAATCGAGGCCTGGCCAATAAAACTTGCGGCTCAACAAGGACTTCAGCATGTCCCGTCCGGGGTGTCCTGCAAGCGTTGAGTCATGCGTCTCCTGCATAAGCCGCGTGCGCAGGGGTTCGTGGTTCGGCACCCAAATTCGCTCGCCAGCAGAGCCGCTGTCCATCGTCAATCGAGCATTCCGAGAGCATCACGGGCAGTCCCCAATGCGACGGCAGACGCCTCTCGCCTTGCTGTACGGCCTTTCGGATGAGCCAATAACGATTGTGCTTCTTGACACCTTCGTCCCATAACTTCTGCAGTTCCGGGTCCGAGAAAGGGTTTTCGATTGAGTCGTCTTGGTCAGTTGTTGCGTCATCGGGTTGATCCGTGTCGCCCTTGGTGACATAACCGCTCTTGACTTTTGTCACCAGGCCACCCTTGTTACGTTGCAGCAGCTGAACACGTCGTCCTTGCAACCGATCATCTTCGGCGCTGTGCGGCATGTCCTGTTCTCGTCGAGACAGCGTGTCCGGTACGACGGCTTCTTTGCCCGGTCGATGCTTGATGGTGAAGCTGTACCGCGATAGCGTCTCAGCCCATCGCGCCTGACGTTCACTCAGTTGCTGCTTCTTGGTGAAGTAACGGAGGTTGAGATGATCCGTCAAAACGGTAAAGGACTTCACACTCCTCAATTCGGCGTCCCAATGCTCAAGGCAGCGAATGATCGCCAGCAGCTCTTTATCGTGGATTGGGTAGTTGCACTCCGCCGGTGCGTTTTCTTTGAGAAGAAGGCCACAGGCCGCATGATGCCGTCATCGCCCTTTGCGAGAGCGCCCTCCTGTGACATAACCGGATGAATCCGTCTCCACAATCGTCTCTCTATCCGGATCCCATTGCGCAAGGACCGGCGCACTGGTCAGAAGAGCCTTCAACTCCTCGAAGGCCTTGTCGCACTCCTTCGACCACGCAAACACCGCATCCTTCTTTGTTAACGCCGTTAGAGGCGCGGCGATGTTGGAGAATCTGGGAATGAATTGCCGGTAATAGTTGGCAAACCCCAGAAAGCTTCTGACGCCTTTGACAGAACGGGGTCGCTGCCACTGCTGAATTGCCTGCACCTTCTCCGGGTCCACGCGGATACCTTTCCCGGCTTCGACGATGAAGCCCAGGTACTTGACACTCTTTGCCTCAAAGTCACACTTGTCGATATCAATCTGCAGGCCTGCATCTCGCAGTCGAGCAAGGACCTGCCTGACTTTGTTGCGATGATCTGCGAGCGAACCGCTCGAGTAGATCAAGATGTCGTCAATGTAAGCGGAACAGAACTCGTCGAGGAAATCTCGCAACGTGTGGTTTATGTAACGCTGAAACGTTGCGGGAGCACCCGTCAACCCGAATGGCGTGACAAGCCATTCGTAGAGTCCGTAACGTGTTCTGAATGCTGTCTTCCACTCGTCTCCTCCTCGACGCGAATCTTGTGAAATGCTGCGATAACGTCAAGTTTGGTGAGCCACTTGGCCTTGGACAGCGACCGCAAAGTTTCCTCGATCAACGGCAAGGGATATCGGTCTTTCTTGGTGATCGCATTCAATCCTCGATAGTCCACGCAAAAGCGCAGACCACCACCGGGCTTCCTCACGAACAAAACTGGTGCTGACGCTGGAGAACTACTTGCTCGAATGAAACCCTTGTCGAGTAGCTCAGTGAGAGTCTTTCGCAGAACAATGAGCTCTTCTCGTGACATGCCGTACAATGGTCCCCACGGCGGTTCTTTCTCCTTGTCATCAGGACCTCTCTCTAACTGAATCTTGTGATCACACCCCGGACGACGCGGTGGGAGTTGGTCCGCTTGGTCGCGGTCGAAGACGGATAGGTACTCGTGGTAGTGACGGGCAGCTTCTCTCTCGGGTCTGACTTCTTCCTCGGAGTCAATGCCTTCTCAATGTCTTTCAGGCTTGCGGCGAAGATCCGCACTCCATCGTCTCGATGCTTGAACTTTCTTGCTCGGCGAACCATTCCGGCGAACACGAACGCCGCCTGTCCTCGTATGTTGCACCGTTCCTCCTCCTTCGGGTCTCGGCCTTTCACCCAATGGTCGTGCGTCCCGATATGCAAGAGGTTCTGCGATAATCGCAAGGTGACATCCTCCTGGTTCAACCACTTCTTGCCCAGAATCACAGGATCGGTCTGGTCTCGCACAACGTAGAAAAAAGCTCTTTTCTTCTGGTACCCGTCGATATCGAAGTCGAAGTAGGTCACGGCACAGATGGCCTCGGGTGAGAATGTGTTGACCTGCTCCAACGCTCGAGGTTTAATCGGAATACGCGGCAGGTGAAGCTTGCGGGCAAGGCGCTCACTGATGGTCCCATAACACAGGCAACCACAGTCAACGAAGGCCGTGGTGAAATACTCGATTGATACCGAAATTTACGTAGAGGCCTTCACAGTCCATCTCGTCCTTCTGAGTTGCCCATTCCGCCTCAGCCTTTGCGCGCTCCTGACGGCGATTTTCGTCAGGAGCTACTCGTTTTCCGAATGGTCATCGGAGGTATCCCCGCTAGAACTCTCCGCGGGCTCTTGGTGCTTTGCTCTCGAGCTTCTTGTCTTCTCTTCGACACGGACCTTGACTCTCTGCTGCCGCCGCTCCTTCCCGGGACACTTGGCCGCAAGATGGCCAAGCTTCCCGCACTCGTAACATTTGCGCTCCTCCAACGGAACAAATTGCTTTTCCTCCGGGGCCCTCCTGCCGTTTATCAACCGATTTGCTTTCACGGGTTCCCAATCCATCTGATCATCGGACGGGGACGACGTGGTTGGCGATCCGGGTGACGGGGCTTTGTCGGGACTCGAGCGGTTCGGATAAACGACCATACTCCTTTCTTGACCTCTGCTCGCGGCCTTGTTGTCGTTGGTGGAAATTGAGGCTATCTAGGCGCGAGCCAATCGTCAAGAGTAGCTCGGCGTAGCTGTTGAAATCCTTCGGGAGACTGACGGCACTGACGAGACTCGACTTGAGCCTATTATTAATTGCTCCTTCCAAGTAATTGATTTGCACCACGTCGGCCCACTCGCCACCGCCACTATCGGCAAGCTCTTTCTCGAACTTTGGGAAGAAACTGGCGAAACTCTCATCAGGCTTCTGCTTCAACGATCGAAGTCGATCCAGTGCTCGTGCCTTTGCGTTCGGGTCCCCGTACCGACGGTTCAAGTAGTCGAGAAACAGATCTGGGGAGCGAGCACCATCGATACCGCCCTGTTCGTAATAAGCAGCGGCCATGTTCTGGGCTGTTCCGCCAACCGGGAGTACACATAGGCGAAGAGTGCTTCTTTATTGTCGAATGCCTGTCGGTCCACAGCCAATTTCGCTTTCATCTCTAAGAACCAGGGACGGAAGTTTTTCCTGGTTCCATCGAATTTCGGCGGATCAGGCAAGGTTGGTTTTACCCTCTTTGATGGGATTCTTTCGGATGTCTCGATCGATTGAGGCGTGTTGTCGGACATCGGTTCGATAGGAGCGACTGGTTCATTTGCCGGAGTCGGAGTTGAGACGGCTGTTTGGAGGATTCGGATCTGCGATCGCATCTCTTCGCGTTCGGCCTCTTGGCTTGCACACACTTTCTAGTTTGTCCATCACTGCAGCCAGGGCTTGCATCATCGATTGAGGCTCAAAAGAACCTTGCTGGGAATCGATTGCCTCCATGACTGAAGATTTTCTCCTCGTCTCTCAGGACTGAGGGCGACTTGATCACACAGCAAGTCTGATACGGAAGGGATATCTCGACAACGGTCGAACGCTATCAACGCCTCGAAGGCTCCTTCCTACACGGCTGGACGTTCTGCACAGGGCTTCTAGTCCAGCTGCTGCCGTCCACACTGGGAGCCAAGCAGCAATCACGTACTTCTCGCTCAACCGCACGCCGTACGGAGAGCAGATTGACGCTCCACGTCCTTTGCTCGGGAGATGAGAGCTACGCGACGCGAGCCAAGCTGGCTTTGGCGCCGTACACACACGCACTTTCGTCGCGGGCGTTCCACACAGGATTGCCCAAGCTACTGCCACTCCGCGTACCCACAAAGGGAACTGAACAGCGCTGCCAATTGATTGTGATCAAAGGCTTTAACGATGAAAGCGGAGCTTTAGGATAATGTAACGGTCTCAACTGAGTGTGTTGACAACTAGCTGAGCGACTGCGACGAGTATCCTAAAGCTAAGGAGAAAGAAGAAAAGAAAAGAAAGGAAAGCTCTCGAAGATGGCACGAGCTTATAAGCGGAGCTCCGGTGGGTCTTGTCGAGAGCGGAGCCGAGACCCTCACGGGCTCAGCCCGTTACATTATACGAAGGTTGTTTATTAACCTTATTCGTTGCTTTAGCTTTAATGTATATTTCGCATTGCCTTATTTTATTTTCCTCTTCTAGAGGCATTTTTATATCCTTATTATATCTTTTTAATATTTCTAAAATAGCCCTACTATTTATATGCCCTAAGCGTAAGTGCTAAGTATAAAAATCTATATCCTTTGCTTTTAAAGACGTAATAAGGATCGATTAGCTTTCTAATAAGGGTTCTATAGGAATATAATATAATTTATTTCTAAGAAATCCTTTAGTAAGGACCTTAGCCTTATTATCTAATAAAAGGACTTTATTTCCTCCTATTAAGGCATAGGTATTATTAAAATAAGATTGGGATAGTATATTTACCCCTAATTTAGGTATATAAAAGCAGTCTCGAATGATATACCTTTTTCTACTATACGGGAACTTAAATACTAAGTCCCCCTTTCCTTTTACTAATATAAAGGAAGCTTTTCCCTAGCAAACTTTAGACTTAATTTCTTTATAGTTAATAAGGAAATTCTTATTAGATACTATATGCCTAGTAGCTCCGGTATTATATATAAAATTAAAGATCCTTTTATTCTTATAACTAGGAAATCCTCCTTCTCTTACCTTTAAGACTAATTCCTTTATTCTAGGAATCGAGGCTTTTAGAGGTCCTAAAAGAGAGTCTTTATTAGCTTCTACTATAGGGGTAATTATAGAGGTTAAAATTACCTCTAAATCCTTAGACGTATATATAGGGGTCGGGGCCCTAGAGAGGTCTATAAGGTCGATATCTAGGTCTATATTTTCTTCTTACGAAGCTATATTTAAGACCTTATTACTATCTTCCGAATCGGACTCTAGCTCGGTAATTCGAGCCTTCCTTCTTTTATTAGTAGTAGAAATGCTACTAGAAGGGGATTTCTTTCTAGAAGAAGAAGAAGAAGAAGATTTTCTCTTCTTAGAAATTCGAGTCCTATCGTCCTTTTTTCCTTTATTTAATACCTAATAAGCGGGAGCCTTATTCGGGTGTAATTTATAGCAATTTGCTATAAAATGCCCTGGTTTTTTGCATTCCTTATAATAAGGAGTATCCGTAGAATTTCTATGGGATTTCTAAGGCTTCCTTCGTATTAGGAAGGCTTTCTCCGAAGATTCGTCTATATCCTCTATTCTTCTAGCTTCGTCTAAAAGACTAGCTGTAAGGGTTTCGAGGGTAAACGCCGTAGAATTATGCCTAAGGCTCTGCGTAATATTTGTAATATAGCTTCTAAATTCCTTATTAAGGCAATTAAGAATCCATGCTATAAGAACAACTTCTAGAATTTCTATATTACGGGATTTTAAATCCTCGTAGATTTCCTTTACCTTATAAAGGTATTTCTCTAAATTAGAGTCCGAGGGACTAAGATTAAAGAGCTGCTTAATAAGCAGATAATTCGACGAAAAGTTCGACGGATTATATAGCTTTTTAAGCTTATCCTACGTTTCTTTAGCATTTTTTAGATGCCGAATTTGCATTAAGGGACCATCTTCGACTCGAAGGAATATTATAGATAAAGCCTCCGTAGTCTATATATAATTTGCTTGCTCTAGAGCAGCAATAAGCTTTTCTTTTATAAGGATAGCTTCTATCCTCGTAGTCTATAAGGTATAATTTAAATTTCCCTTAAGTCTAGTAAATTCGTATTCTTTCTATCTACCTATTTTATATAAATTCGGTATTATTTCGTTCGTAGGATCGAGAAGTCTGGACGGGAGTTTAAGAGCGTAGGAAGGTAAAAGAAGTCGGGGGGAATTTCGAAAGGAATTTTAATTGAATATTTCGACGAGGAATTTCAAAGGTATAAGTAGTTGATTTCCCGGCTTAAAAGGAGCAAGCCGGGCTTATAACCTCTAAAGGTATATAAGCAAAAGCGGAATTTTAGGAAATCAAGGAATCACGTAAGACTACGTGATAGAGGGGAAGAAGGAGTATAAGGTAGGATTTTCAACGGAATTTATTGGTAGTGTATTGGTGTGTGTAAGAGGTGTTGAAGTTAATGATTCTCTATCTATCTACCAGCGGACATGCTGTCTTATATAGACAATTGTAGCTGAACGGAAGAACCTTTCGGGACCAGATTTAGGCTGCCGTATAGCCCTGAGACTGAGGAATTCCGTGATACCTCGAGTGAATCTGGAAGTGTCTTGGTTCCACTGATATTCGTGTTTAAAGGAGGTTGGTCGTGCCGGTGTTCTTAAGAGGTCTTAGCTAGCATTCTAAGCTAGCTCTGTTCCTTCGATTCCCGATTGTACGATAACCGGCAACCCGTTTAATGCATAATAAGATGCAAAATAACGAGCGATTCTTGCTCTATAAGATGAGATTTTGTCTATAATTAATATACTACTTATTGGCTTATATAATCGGGAGAGTA